AGAGAGAGACAGAGAGAGACAGAGAGAGAGAGAGAGAGAGAGAGAGAGAGAGAGAGAGAGAGAGCACGATGACCACCAAGTTCCCGTCGAGCGCGATTAGCACGGATCGACGATGAGCACCACCCGTCGAGCACCAAAGGAGAGCACAGTCTGACAATCACACACACACACAGAGAGAGAGAGAGAGAGAGAGAGAGAGAGAGAGAGAGAGAGAGAGAGAGAGAGAGAGAGAGAGAGAGAGAGAGATGAGCACGTCGCATGCCGTTGCATGTTGCCGCGTGCCTTCGCTTGCCCTAGCGCCCGAGACGATTGAGAAGCCCCCCCCTTCGAATGTCGGGCACATATACATCCCATCGAAGGGCGATTTCAGGGCTGGGCGTGGGCGCGTGTTCAGAACTGCCGTTTGGGCGGGCCGAACCGGTATCGCACGGCCCAGATTGCGGGCCGGTTACCACCTGTCGACGGGCCAGATCGCAGGCCGATGAGAAAAGTTTCTCATCGGCCTGCGATCTGGGCCGTCTGCAGGTGGTGACCGGCCCGCAACCTCAGCCGTGCGATATGACGTTAGCGGTTCTTATAGTATTGTAGACAGCTTTTTAGTTCATAAAATTCATATTTATGATTTAATATTTTTGGTGCGCTGCACTACCGTTTGGCAAACTGAGAAGTACTTCGCACAGTGCTGCATCAAGTACTGTCTATCAACTGAAACTGAATTGGCGAGCGGGCCAGCATTGGATAACTTCCTGGTTAACCCTATCTCGGCTGTGCAGTCCACAGTCACACACTTATTCATGCTATCAGATTTGTCTATAAGCAGACAAATACTTCTGTTTAGAATTTTTAACATTTTTATCCCTCAAGGAAAGAGGATTATCATCATTATCTTCTTCAAATTTCGAATTCTGAATTTCAATGCACCGAGCCATATCAGTCGAGTCACCACATGTTATCTGGTGGAAAGAAGATCACACCAATGGGCCTAGCTCAGTTGGTACACCCATGAACTGTTAAAACGCAGACCCAAGCTCGAATCCAGATACCACGAGATGACCAGAATAAGGGGCCGGTCAGTTCAACGATGATGATATCTCAAGGTCATCGCCCTTCTAATAAGAAGGAGAGAGGGAAAGGGAATTTAAAGGCAAAAAAAAGGGGGGGGGGGAAGGAAAGAAGATTACCCACCCACCCACACAAAAGATAGCCCCATCACAGAATCATCCTTCGAGAAATGGGTCCTCGTGTCATCATCGCGATGCCGAAAAAAACGAATGGACTAGCATGAAAAAAACCTTACCGGCAACTGATATTCACTCTCTGATATCCGCCGACCGCATCTGAGAGTAAAGTGTGCAGCATGTGGATACTTGTTAGGTCGTGGGTACAAGTCCAAGTAGATGTAGCCAAGATCACCCTGTAAATCACATCCCGTCACATCCATGCAGAAACCCACATATAGCAGCAGACAACAAAATGGAAAAGGGTATGAGACACTTGCTGTTGAATGAATTTACACCATCATCCAGCCTAGGTTCCTGAGGCGTCCTTGCTCACAAAGTCATTGCGTGGAATGGCGAGATGGCCACCAAGATCTGGGAATATGGACTTGGACGCTTACCTCTGCAACTCCACATGATGATTTGTGGGTGTAACGCTTCAAAAATACAACCGGCTACGAGCTGCTGCCAGATGGAAATCTGCACCTACAATCATACTCGTTTTCAAACACACTTTTCATGCATGTAAACAGCAACGCAGCATACTGGCGACATGCGCCCACACAAGACTCAGAGATATGGCTTCAGATATGAGTTCACTCTCAATCAGTTATGGCGACTTCAGCGCCCAAACAACTCACTGTTCACATACACTGGATC